ATTTATAATAGGTACAAGTTATGACTTTCCTTCCTTATTCATATCATAGAGTAGGCATTTGATTTTCTAAAATTTAAAGTTCTTAACTTTAAAAAAAGTATCAAGGTTTTAACTTGATAAATATTAACTACATTTTAAGTTAGAATATACAATTATTTTTTATTTAATATAATTTAATTAAGAAAAAAACAAGACTAAATTTTTTTTTGCAGAAAAGGAACTAATTTGTTTTTTTTTCTTTAAAGCTTTAGTAACAATTAGTTAAATGCAAGAAAAAAAATTATTAAAGGCACTAATTGGCTTTTTCCTTAAAGCTTTAGTAACAATTAGCTAAATGTTAAAAAATTATTATATAGCAAAAAAAAAGAATTTTTTTATGTAAGAAAATGTTAGTCGGAAACAATTCTAATTTTTAATGAATTCTTCTCCCATCCAAACAAAGAATTTGGAATTCCAAATGAATTATGTATCAATTCTATGCATTACCCAAACAAAAGAATTCCAATGTTTTGGAATTCCAATTCATAGAATTCTAATTCTATAGAATTCCAATTCCAATTTAATTCCAATTCTGTAGAACCAAACGCACCCTTAGTTCATTTGGGGAGAAGAAGCTCAATGCCACTTTAATAAGGGCCCATTTCATCAACATCAACACCAAGACTGTACCAAGGAATACAGAAATATATCGTTCATTTCATTATTTTGTCAACTAATTACTGGAAGATCAGAAGCACTTGACAAATCATCTCATGAGTAAAGTTTCATTTAGTCCACTTCCAATGATTGACATATAAGCAATTGATCTGTGACCAAGATTTGATGTTGGTGGAGCTATTGATTTGTTTTTATTATAGTTGGCAATTTTGCCCAAAACCCAATAACCCACCCAACTTACCCACTAATTTGAGAGGTTGGGTTGGATAATTTGAGTGTTGGGTCAAATTTGAGTTGGGTAATAAAAATCCAAATATATTTTGGGCGGTTTGGCCATTTGTGTTGGGCACCTATTATCCAACTTAAATTTAAAAAACAAATAAAGAAATTAAATTCAAGTAATACAACTCTTGTTTCCTTCGACAACTTCAACTAGCCCAAAACTTCTTGTCTTGTTTGGCAGCAAATAATATCAAAACAGCTCCTGGTATAATTCCCTTGTCACATATCGATACCAGTCAAAAATCATGGATTCACTAAAAACAGTTCCTGAGGTAATAATCCCTTTGTCACATAACACTATTGGTTTTTTGGAAAAAACAATACTGGTTAAAAACAACGGATTCCATTATATGTTATGATTTAATATGTACCTATATCAAATTGCTATATTGAATGAAATATCAATACCAAATTCTAAAGTTAGAATCCAAAGTTGAGTACTCGAAAAATAGAGAATGGTTATAAAGTGGATCATAGATTAATTTTTCCACTATAATTATAAAGTAGGACATCTTCTCCTTTATTTTATCATTTTTTAAAAAAATTTTATCACTTAAAATTTTTAGAAAAATTTAGGACCGAAGGCATTAGAATGTGCTTTATTGGTGACTGGTGGATGATTGGGTTGTCATTGGACCTATTTTAATGTTGTGTTAATTTTTCCAAAAATTTTCAAATGAATTGGATAGTGATATTTGAACTAATTTGTTGAGAATTATATCTCTCTCATCAAAATTTTGATTTAATTAAGGCGTGATTGGATCTTTTATGATATTAGAAATATGTTTGGTATGGCAAATGCTAAATCAAGTAACAAGACTTGGAAAATTGTATATTGGTATACCATTTTTTCATGCTATATCCAACTTGGACCAAAATTATTTTAGTGTGTGAAAATGTGTTTATATGTGCGAAAATTTTTTTTTGTACATAAAAATGTATTTGAGAGAATTTATGTATCAAAATCTATTAATTAATATATTGGGTCATATTTGGGTTATGGGTTTGAGATGACCCAATATGACCCAACCCAAAATTAACCCAATTTAAAGTTGGGCGGATTGGGTATAACCCATTTAAATAAAAACCCAATATCAACCCGCCCAACCCGTCCAATTGCCAGGTATACTGACAAGGGACATAAGAAACCCTTTTTTACATCTTCAAGATTGGAAAAGGAAGAAGCTGTGATTAGAATCCATTCCAGCAGGTAATGGTTGGTATTAACAAATTCTTGTATTGAAAATTCGGTTTAAGTCAATGAATTACTATTCTGTGTCATGATGCAATCCTTTGAGAAAAGGGCAATTCCTGTTCTTGTATTTTCTTTACCTTCAAATATTATTTATAGCAGTATAATACGGATGTGCTATTCAAATTATTTAAGGCACTCTTCGGTACAATAGTAAATTGTGATCAGTTTTATATTGTGCATTCTTGTTCAGATTCTTTTTCAATAAGTATGTTGACAAAGAAAAGTTAAAGAGTGTACTTGGGAATTTCTCTATTTTCATGACAAAATGATAATTGAGCTATATGTGATATACCACTCAATTATCATAAAAAGCTCTGTCCTATCATTTGGACAAAAAAAAAATTCATGGAAACTCTGGTCATCTTTTTAAGTTTTGTTGATATTCTAATAATGCTGGATCAAATTTTTCTGACTATTTGGTTGGTCGCCTGGCTGGGTTGGGAAGGGGGGGGGTTTACTCAAAATCTTTTTTTCCCCTCAAACCAAATTGTTATTGTTTATATTTATCTTGATCCATGGAACCGTAGTCTTTCTTCTTCTTCTTTCAAGATCATCCATGCAGTTTCTGCATTCTCAAGTTATGGTTTTGAAATAATAATTGTAGTTTTTGTTGCAGAGCTCTTGAATCGTATCCCTTGCATGGTAAGTGGACAAACCAATGAAACAGAAGAATAAACAATTCAACATTGGTATGCAAACAAGATAAAATAATTTGAACTCCCAAACTACTCCTAGTAAAGAAAAGCACAATCTCTCTACAGATAGATGGTTCATCTTTTCAAAAAATTCTTTTTGCTTTAATGTTTATGAATGATTTGATAGGGCTAAAAAATTTTTTTTTGTTTGTTTAATATTCAAACAAATTCAAACTCTTTTTGTTTATTATATTAACATAATCTGAATATTAAATATTCGGCTTGACTCACTCATAAAATGCTCCATGTACTTGTCTTGAAAAACAAAAAAGATGATATTGCCATTTAGGTGAATATTTGCCAAATCAAAATTTTTCTATGCTGGCCGTAAGTGAAAGATGAGAAACTAAGCAAAACCTTGATTCAACTTCCGTTTCAATTTACTGTTATTCCAAGCTTAGGAGGGGTTTCAATGTACTTTTATCCTGAGGGCACTGGATAATGCTACGAATGGGTTGGATAACACCCTATGATCAAAGTAGGTGGAGCTCGTTGAGTAAATGAGGGATAGGTTGGATGGTACACATAAGTAAGGAACTTGGCATTTTGATTTCTGAGATACCTTATATTTAGTGCTAATCAATTTGACACCACTTATTCAAGATGATGGCATCGGATAACTTTGCCTTTTCAAGAAGTTCTCACTTCTTAAAACTAATAAAAAGAATCAAGGGTATGGACTTGTTCAATACATTACAGCAAATGTTTCAAGTTAGCTAAATATTTATCTTTGTCTTAACCTCTGTCTAACATAATTTTTTTTGCTACTTAGCCCTATATTAATTGGCCCAAAACTCAACTAAAGAACCTTACAGACGCATATATAATGTTGGCTTTCCCACCTTATAGAAAAATTTTCCGCACGCATGTTTAATGTTGGCTTTCCCCGAAATTAAAGACAGAACCATAGGACAAACAAATTCAATCCCTAATCTAACAATTATTTCCATGCTCTATAGCCATGGGTTTGAATAGCACGAGGTATTGAACTATTAAACCCTCAAACGGATTTAAGGACCAACTTATTACTAATTAAACAATGGCTTCATATTTCTCACACTGATAGTATAACGAATTCTTTAGGGCAAATTCCACTTTACCCCCTGTGGTTTAGCGTTTTTAACATAACTCCCTTATGGTTTCAAAGCTATACATAACCCCCTTGTGGTTTGGATTAAAGTGTCAAAGTGATGGGAATGATCATTCATAACGGCGTCACGTAAAATGTCAAAATTACCCTTATGTAAAGTTGAAATTTATGTATCAACTAAGGGGGGTTATGTGTATATTTTGAAAATCATAAGGGGGTTATATGATTGTAGACAAAGAAAATTTATTTAATTTATTTAGTCAAGATTTATTTAAATTAAATTGATCTTGATTAAATTAAGTTAAATTGTAGAAGTTCATTATGTTTTGAACTTACAAATTGGGCCAATATTATATGGGCTATTAAATCAAATTAAATTTGTAATGCCCATTTAAGTGGAAGTGAATTAATTGATTTATTAATTCATAATGGACTATTTGGGTTAGCCCATTATTTAAGCCCAAGTTAAATGGATTTCTTGAGTAACAAGTGATCCAAAATGCATGAAGATTCTGAGGGTTTTCTTGAAGACTTAGCCTACATATTTTGGATTTCCAATTTTTTACGTTGGCCTTTACGTTGGCCAGTGATCGTGATAGTGTAATATACCCAAAAAAAAAAACAAAAATTGTCCTTACTTTTTTGAGTAATTATGGTGGCACCCCAAGTCGTTACTTTCACACTCCATAATGTAGTATTGAAGTGGAATATGTTCCAAATTTAATTGATTTCAAGCTTTACAAATTTCATTAATTTGAAATTTTAAGATAGGACAACGCACGAGCCATACTGACATACTTTTGCTTTCAATTATAAAGCTACAGATAAAATGGCAAGGAACCATAAAGAAAAAGGATATACATGTATAGGTTAATGAAGAATTTTTTTTTTTTTTTTTTAAAGAGATGAACTGTGTAGCTTCATGTGTAGGTTACCGCTTTCAGTGAATGCAGGTATTCAATAAAAAATGCACAACCAAAAACTTTCGATGGACCATTCTCATAATTTGCACCGGACAACCTTCAACACAATTAATAGTAATTATCCATTGAAATGTCTTCTTGCTTACAATTATAAACCTACAGATTCAGCCGCAAGCAACCACAATCACTTGCAGCACAAAATACACAGCACGCACAATTGGAAGTGAACCATATCTTTTCCTTATTTCCACTCCATGGGTGGACCTGGGCATCAGAAGCCATATTTTTCGAATTAGCCATGCCAAAAACTTGTCATTCAACAAAGTATTAAGTTCAGTATTTAGTTAATTTAATAGGATCACAATAGTTTAAAAGCTATTAGAAATAAAGAAGAAGGTAATTATTGAAAGGAATAACATTAATTATTTGATAAATTAATTATTAGAAATAAAGAAGAAGGTAGAAAAAGAATGCTTTGCTTACCAGTTATGTAAATTATTGCACTGCCCTTCTTAAGTGCGTATGTGGATCCATTTCCTCGGTCGCCTTCGCGGTTTGAACGACTCTTCGACAATCAGTACAAACCATCTTGGTTTTCCTGTCAAGAAAATGAGACCTCCCATAACTAATCCGAGCACTAATCCACAGCCATATCCCAGGAGAACAGCTTTCCAAGTGAATCCATCAAAGAATTCAGAATCATCATATTGTTCTTCAGCTTCCCATGGCGTGGCTGGTGGTGGTGCCTCTGTATCTCCACAATCTTTCGTCAGGGGAAATCCACACAAGTCCAAATTCCCTCTGTATGAATCATCTCCAAATGTATCAAAGTGCCTTCCTCGTGGAATGGGTCCAACTAGATGATTTTCAGAAAGGTTTAAGAATCCAAGAAAATCCAGATTCACTAGCTCCCTAGGAATGGTTCCTTCAAGTTGGTTCCACGACAGGTCTAGAGATTCAAGCATACTCAAATTCCCTAATGCCCTAGGAATACCACCACTAAAGTTATTATGAGAGAGAGTGAGTGTTTGAAGAGAATGAAGGAATCCGATAATCTCTGGAATTTGTCCTTCGAATCTGTTGCCTGAGAAGTCAATCACTGTTTGAGCTATTAGGACTCTTTCAAGGCTGTACTCTGCCCCTTTGATAAACAAACCCACAGAATGGATGTAATAATAAACTCAAAAGCTTTCTCCCGTCATATACTGGACTAATTCCTTTTGCTGATGCTTTGAACTTTTCATGGCATTGAAATTGCTGATAATGTCTTCAGGTAGAGAACCAGTGAGCTCATTGTGGGATGCATCAATTATTCTCAGCTGAGGAAATGGACTTTTTGTTTGACAACTGCCAATTGTTCCGTGAAATTGATTAGATTTCAATACTAGGACCTCCAGATTAGAAAGAATTTCCAACCAAATTGGAAATTTATCATCTATCTTGTTGTTCCCTAAATCAAGGAGTTCCAGATCTTTACAATGAGCTAAAGATTGTGGCAGTGGCCCTTGTAATTGATTATCGTTTAGCATAAGAAACCGTAGAGAGCTGCCTTTTGAAAATGTTGTGGGCATGGTGCCAAAAAGCCTATTATTTCCCAAATCCATAATGTCTAGGTTCTGGCTGAAGTTTCCCAGGCATTGAGGAATTAGGCCAGACAAATTGTTATTTGACAAATCAAGAATACCAAGATTATTTGAATCACAGATAGAAGAAGGTATTTGGCCCTGAAGTGAGTTGGAACTCACATCCAGATACACCATAGATGAAGCAACGGGTAGTTGGTCTATGGTACTAGTCAAAAAGTTATGCGAAAGGTTCAAGTAGAACAACTTATCAAAAGTCTTGGACATGAACCAGCTTGGAATTTCACCAAGAATTGTGTTATTTGAGAGGTCCAGAAATACTAAACTCTCTGAATTTCTAAGAAACTCTGGAAATTCCTTTATCTGGCAAGAAGACAATCCCAAGTACGTAAAATCTGGATAGGAAATGCTCACATTGTTTGTAGTGTGCCATGGGGCTTCAGTCTGAAGAGGGTTCTTTTGAAGTTGATTGAAGTCCACAAACAAGTCTTGCCCAACCCCATTAAAATGGTTTGCTGAAAGGTCAAGGTGAGATAGGGTTGGAATAGTAAAAATTGATGGAGGAATTGAACCAGTTAGTTGATTATTTTGCAACCGAATCTCTGATAGTAACCTATTTTTGAAATCTCCAATTTCTCCTGTCAGTTGATTACTAGAGAGATCTAAAAAGTCAAGATGCATAAGGTTGAGAAGTGACTTTGGAAATTTCCCGGACAATAAATTGTGACCTAGTGACAGCGTACTTATCTTTTGTAAAATGGAAAATTTATTTGGTATTTTCCCTAGAAGATAGTTACCATCCAGAAACAATTCAGTAAGCTGTGTAAGGTTGCCAATTGATTCAGGAATGACACCAGAAATTTGAGAATATCCTAGATTCAAAGAATTTAAGGAGCCTATGCACCCAATTGAATTTGGCAGTGCAGTAGAGAAACTTGTACGCGATAAGTCCAACTGCTTCAAAGAATAAGAAATGCTGCAGTTCAATTTTGATAAACTAACAGTAAGATTTTCATTGCCACCCAACAAGAGAACTTGCATATTCGGCAGATGAAAAGCATTACTTGGTAGATTACCTGTTATTTTAGTAGATGAGAGATCTAGATACGTCAAAGATGAAGAAAAATTCACCCTCAAATCGGATGAGATGTTCACATATGAAAGCGACAGCTCTCTTAAATGGGTTAAGTTCTGAAGCATCGCTTCAAAATTGCTAGGTTCATATCTTAGAAGATCATTGGCAGAGAGATCAAGTGAAATTAGGTTGGACAGGTGTGATATTTCTGAAACAACTTCACCTTGAAAATTTGAATACGAGAGATTGAGGTGGGTCAAACTTTTCAGTGAACCAAATCGGTGTGAAATTCGTGAACCGGTAAAATCATTAAAAGCAAGGTTGAGGCGACGGAGATGGAAAAGATGAAAAAGGGTAGAGTTTCGATGAATGACTCCCTGAAGCTGGCCGCAACTCAGATCCAGCCCAATCACACGACCGGTGACGTTGTGGCATGTGACGCCGTCCCAATTGCAACAATCCGTATCTGCTTTCCAACGTGTTGTCTTTGGATATGAATGATCACAGGAAGCATAAGTTGATATGCTAAACATTTCTTTGAATTGAAGCAGTGCAAGAGCGTCATCATGGCGGCACAAATGATCTCCCAAGAAAGTGAAACAGATCGCTTCTTGAGGATGCAATAGAAAGAAGAAAAGTAAAGCACTAAAAACTGTTATTTGTCTCTTCATTCTTGCTTGATAAATTTATGATCAGCACAACGGTTTATATAAAGGTGCCGGATGTAATAGTGGAAGCATGTGAAAACAAAAAAAAAACAAAAAAACTTGACTTTTAATGTTAATTCTAATAGTTATTATGTACGTATGAGAGCAGAAAGTTGAAAGTCGCATGTGGAATTAATCATTAGGCAACACTGTAATTTTAATGGACTGTTCTTGAGAAAATAATTTTAATGGTCAGAACTCATAAAACTAGTTAACTTTTGTCATTCAAAATAAAAAATTTAAAATTTTTTTAGAAACTATCAAGATAACTCTTTCTGAAATTACACAGAACTATAGTGTGATGCTTGAATTGATTTATTTTAGAAAACTATAAGAAATTTTTTAGAAAGATGCATTTTCTTATCCGGTAAAATTGTTCATCTTAGTTCCTTTGTGGTAGGTTTGATCAAAGGCCATTCTCTTGAAATAATCCTCCCTTCTCTTTATCTCAAAATTGTGGTACCATTTGGGGTGGAAAATCTGAAGCCAATTGAGCTGGTCCTCTCATTTTCAGGCCTACTCAAGAGTTTGCTTACAAGAGTTTCACTGTCAAGTTTCAACATCCTTGGATTATGAGGATACCTCCAAGTTAGTTATCTAACACTAATTCCATGGACCTCAGAAAGTCTTGGCATGCTTAAGAAAGTCTAGACTAACAATAAGTTAGTCTAGAAAAGGATAGATCCTACTACATATTGTCTACATGCAATCTCGTAGAAGACCCGTCAGTCCAACTTCTAATCGACATCGTTAAATTTGAAACTGGCGATTTTTAGCAATTCATTTGAAGACACAGATTGATAAGAGATGTTAACAGTTCATAAAAAGAAGTCTTTCTATAGAAACTTTCATACAGTTTAGAGAGAGAGAGGGAGAGTTGTAAGTGTTAAAGATAATGCTCATAAGTATCTTATTTTTGCAACTTAGGAGAGATTCTAAACCTTACTAGCTGCTTTAAGGGGGAAAAAAGCTTTATAAAAGTATTCTAGAAAACTATAAGAAATTTTTTAGAAAGATGCATTTTCTTATACGGTATAAACTTTCATCCTGTTTCATTATGTGGTAGTTTTGATCAAAGGCCATTCTCTCGAAATCATTCTCCCTACCCTTTTTCTCAAAATTGTCGTACCATTTGGGGTGGAATATGTGAAGCCAATTGCGTTGGTCCTCTCATTTTCAGGTCTACTTGGGAGTAAATCCTTTGATTTGTTTTTAGACAAGTCAAGGACTGCCAGTCCTGCTCAATTGCACGTAGAAAGTAGCAATGGATGCTCGACTTGTCGCAGTGATGTCTCCGTTCTTCAAAAAAATCGAGTCAAGTTTTTGGAAAAAAAAAAATTTGTGGTCCTTACATTTCTAAATTGTGAAATAATCACAATGACCTGAGTCCTTCTAAAGATTCTTTGGGCCATCGTCTTCCTTGACATAATTGACGAAGACTTTCTGGGAACATTCTTGTTCCTATTGTCCATTTTAGAGCAATTGAGAAACACAATTTAAAAACTGAAAAGAGTTGCTACATATTCATATAGTACCCAAACCATTCTTTCATTTGTCTCCTAATTTCTGGGAAATTTTCAAAGAATTATGTAGATAAATGCTTCTAAAGTATATGAAAATGCTTGAATTGAGTGTCATAAACTTTCACGGAACTGTGAAATATTTTCTTGTATATGTATATATACATACATACATGCATACATACGTGCATGCATAATACAAAATAGCAATTATTTGAAATGTTCCTTGAATAGCCCCTTATTATGACTTGTAAATGTATTAGAAAAAGCTGTAAATGTTTTGTAAATAAAGATTTATTGGCATAATTGAGCAATAAATTAAGGGGTTCACAAGAGAGAAATGTTAAGTAATTTCGACATCCAAATTAATCATTATGAGTTGACCTTGTGCCTAGCTCATGCCGTAGTAAGATATTTAATACAAAAAGCAATCATATATATATATATTAGATTATGAATAATTTTCTTTGATGGCAAATCAAAGGCTCTGTTGTTAAAATTGAAATTGAAGCATCCTCCTTTTCGTTAGTCTAAGGGAAACGAGGATTAGTCTAGAAAAGGTAGCTCCCGGATCCAGTATCATTTCCCTCCCAGTGCAACAACCAAAGGCATTCCATGGAAGACCCATGAGTCCAACTTCTACTCAACATTGTCAAAATTCCTGCATGAGGCCCAAGTGACAAAAGTATGATTTTGTAAATTAGAATATGTTAGGCAGCATTTATGAAAGGCCCGAGTCTTAAGGCCCAACTGACACTCGTAATATTGCTTTGCATTAAAAAAAAAAAAAAGAAAATGGTTTCTACATCCGTATAATATTGGTCGGGCAGAGAATAGCAATGTATTTTTTGCATTTAGTCAACATATTATTTTCTACATTAATTGTGGAATGTGAAGTCAAGGGTTTAAATCTTACCTCTCATCAACGTGCCTCTATGTGAGGTTTGTTCTAAATTCATACGGATGCGCGGTGCACCCGTTTAGTCTGATGGTGATTCAGTTTTTGTCAGGTTCTCTCGACTCAGTTGGATCACTCCATAGTGTAGACTCCCCCTCTTAGGAGTAGGAATAGGTTAGGCTAGATTAGATATGCCGTTACATAAAAAAAAAGTATTTTCTACGTATTATTCAACATATTATGTTGATTTTGCAATCTATAGGAATTCACCCCATAGGATGATTTGTGACAGATTTCTAAGAATGCAACTAAAAGTGGTGTAATTAGCAATGTAAATTACCCTAGGGTATCTCTCTCAATTTGATTGTAGGAGATGCTTGAGGATTCAATGAATTTCAATTCCTCCAATGTTGAGGGAATAGGGACAGAGAATATGTCGAAATTAGTTTTAACCTTATACTAAACTCATAAAGTACTGATCATAATTGCTAGCCCACATAAACATTGTTTCTGATTCATGTTTTGGCTGGCCTAATCACACCGATGAATTCATTTTCGGAGAAATCAACAACATACAACCTTCTAAATCTTATTTGATTCTTGAAGGTGCCAATGGCTCCAAAAATCCATTAGCTTTCGAGCTTAAAAACTTGGGACGTGGAAGATTTTCCAGCCATGTTGGGAAAATGTCACTTATATTAGTGTCCCCGACAAGAAGGATTTCCAATTTTTTCACATTGGCCAGTGATTGTGATAGTGAGTACTAACCCTTCCAGAAAATTGCCATTCAAATCGAGGTTTGTAAATGTCCTGGCAACGCTTGAGAGGTTAAGCTTACAAAACATTGTGGAATTGCGCCATTGAATTTGTTGGTAGACAAGTCGAGTACTGTAAGTCCTCATAAATTGCACATAGAAAGTGGCAATGGACCCTGGAATGGAGATGATTGAACCCAAAATCTACAACAGCTTGTGAGTCTTCCAGTTCTTGGAAGTTAACCAGCTAGCAACCGGGATTAAGGAATATCATTATGTGAGAGTTATACAGAATCTAAATGCTTTCGAGTGTCTAACAAAATCTGACAATTCCTTCATCCCACAAGAGGATAGTCTTAAATCTACAAGATTGGGGAAGAGTACCATTATTGTTAAAGTTGTTCCCGGCTGTCCATAGTGACCTACGCTTGGGAAGTTTAAGGAATTCAAGTTTAGGGCTCTTGATTGTAGTTGTTATCTTTTTATAGTTCATAATTGTAATCTTATTTTCAGCGAAACAATTTGATTGTTTTCTCTTGACAAGAATTGAGTATCAAGTTTTTTTTTTTTTTTTGTTTTTGTCGATTTATCTATATCTTATTCTATCTTAATCTATTTAGGGGAGGCCCAAGTAGACTTATGAGAACCAGTTGTTTGAAGGAGTGATCCTTGACCAGCTCCAAATCTCGACCTTCAGTTGTGAGGCATTTGAAGGCGCAACTATTTTGTACCACTAAAAAATCGTGTCTTGGTGGGCGGGAGAATGATGTAGAGGGTCCTTGTCATAATTTTCTTCCGAAAACTTTCAGTACACAAACTAATCAGGGATGCTTGTTCTATTTTCTTATTTTATATGGAAATGTTTTCTTGCTTTGAACCTTAAAACAACAGATAAAGTCGCAAGGAACCAAAATCATGATATAGATTTGATAACCATATAAAAACTAAAAATCAAGAATAAGAGAACCAAATTGAAGCCAATTTTTTTGCTAATCTTTCCTTATTGCCATTTCATTCGGGAGGACCAATTTTTCATTGATTAGCCATACATAAAAGGGTACTCCTATGGACAAGTATCATTCACTAATCAATTTTATTATGGGGAAGAAGCAAAGAACAAGATAGTTATATGAAAATGGTGATCATGCAAGAATAGTGGCAGAACAAAAGAAGAAAGGGGGGGAAAAAAAAGCATATTGCTTACCAATTTTGTAAGCTGCCACTTCTGAAGTTCCTACGTGGATCCATTTTCTTGATCTTTTCTGCAGTTTATATGACTTCGACAATCCGTATGAACAATCTTGGTTTTCTATTTGAGAATATAAGACTTAACATTGCTTATCCGAGCAATAATCCGAAACCATATCTCATAAGGGCAGCTTTCCAAGTAATCCATCAAAGAACTCAGAATCATATTGTTGATGAAAAATCCCAATGGTTTTGCCCATGTATCTCCACAACCTTTGGTCATCGGTGACCCACCTAAGGCCAAGTTCCCTCCACACAAATCATTACAAATGCATCAAAAATGCCTTCTTCGAGGAAAGGGTCCAACTAGATAATTTTCTGAAAGGTTAAGAACTCAAGAAATAACAGATTCAGAAGCTTCAGAGGAATGGTTCTTTCAAGTTGATTCAGGTAAGGTCTAGAGACTCAAGCGTATTCAGATTCCCCAAGTCATACCTGAGGAATACAACCATTGAGGTTGTTATGAGACAGGCAAGTACTCCATTTAAATGGTACTTTCATAATCCATTTATTCCAAAAGAAAATGGCCTTTATTCGATTTTT